AGTAGCTGCTGGGCTTCAGCCATACTCAAAATGGGTTGTGAACAACGGTCACTCGATGCAGCCTGGGCATTTCCCCAGGGCATTTGGGGAGTAAAACAAGGTACCAAAAGAATTAGCTTTCCTTGAGCTTGCTCTATATCCTGCTAACTATTCCCTGACATTTCCTTTGTGCTTGCATTCCTTAACTCACAACCCTAGATCTCTTTTGGGCTTTCTGTCCCACTTTCTCACATCCTCCCCCTTTTCCTTCAAGAACATCCGGAAGTCCCAGTGTGTAAGGCTATAGCATGGAGACTTTTCATCTCTTCTGACGCTTCCTGAAGTGGCATTTTTCTTGGCCACACTGCTAACCTCATGCCTGTCTTTCAGCATGCTCTATGCTCAGTATGATGCATAGAGGTCACTCCTGGATCAACAGGACATCCCACCAGCTTATCAGGAGATACCAGCAGGGTGTGAGCAACTGTGCCTAGCCATCAGAGCTTTCGGGACAAGGCATCAGTGATCATCACCTTGTTAGGGGCCCTCTCCCTGCACTTACAAACCCAATCCATCAGTCCAAACAACTGCAGTCAATTATCCCCTTCTTCCCAGTCCCTCCAAGGGGTATCTTTTTTGCTGCCTTGGCAAGATCAGGCCATTGCTCCACATATCCCTCCATCAGCCGACCCCAAAGACCTCCTCCGTTGCGTAGGGCAGTGTTTATAAGTGGCATGGGCCCCGAACTCCCCAGAGCTTGGCTCTCCCAAGCCACAGACGTGAACTCGCTTGCTCTGGCCTCTCAGCACTTCCAAAGCCACTGCAGGGCCATCTCCCGGGGGCAGCAGCTCTAAGTGTCCCACGTTTCTATAATTTGCTCTAAGCAAAAGCCTGCTGAGTAGTCACACTGAGGAGCGGCAGGTCTGCTTAGCCACTGTCACCGGGGCTGCCTGAAAGGACTATTTTATTTCACCATCAGAGCCCTGAGTTTCCGGTCCCCCAGGTGCCAGGGAACTCCTCCAAGGCGGCCAACCTTGGCTCCCTGGCTGTCCCCACAGCAGCCCCAGCGGCTCAGCACGCTACTTGCAATTTGACCACTTCAGTGCTACTAGCTGCTGACCTGGAGCCTCCCTTTTACCCTGAGCACTTGTGCACACCTCTTTTAGCAGGCCGTTGCTCTGACACAGACCATCAGCCCAACTCCCCAGCTGCCTGAGCAGTCCACCTCTCTGCACCCGCCTAGCGAAGCAGCTCGTTTTTCTCCAGCCGCCGCCCCGCTCGGCGTGCTTTCAGCGTCTCCAGCCCCTTGTGGCTGCCCC